CAGCCTACGTGCTGCAGGACCACCTGCTGCAGGACCACCTGCTGGAAGCCCACCTGTGTGACCACCTGCAGCAGCACACCCTGCTGCCAGCCCTCGTGCTGTGTGTCCAGCTGCTGCCAGCCTTGCTGCCGCCCAACTTGCTGTCAAAACACCTGCTGCCAGCCCACCTGTGTGACCAGCTGCTGCCAGCCCACCTGTGTGACCAGCTGCTGCCAGCCCACCTGTGTGACCAGCTGCTGCCAGCCTTCCTGCTGCAGCACACCCTGCTGCCAGCCCTCCTGCTGTGGGTCCAGCTGCTGTGGCCAAACCAATTGTGGGTCCAGCTGCTGCCAGCCCAGCTCCTGTGCACCTGTCTACTGCAGGAGAACCTGCTACCACCCCACGTGTGTCTGCCTGCCTGGTTGCCTAAACCAGAGCTGTGGCTCCAGCTGCTGCCAGCCCTGCTGCCGCCCAGCCTGCTGTGAGACCACCTGCTGCAGGACCACTTGTTTCCAGCCCACCTGTGTGAGCAGTTGCTGCCAGCCTGTTTGCTGCTGATCGGTTCCACAGAGGACCATCATCCCCATACAATAACCCTCTGGCAACAGATTTATCTTTTAGAGGACAAATTTACTTTCAAACTTCGATGACAACCAAAAAAGTGAACTTAGGGTGAACTTTGCTCACCCTAATTTTTGTGACTTCTCTGCATGTTTAACACTTTGTGAATCAGCTTAAGCAAGGGTAGAGTACTTCATCCTGATTCTCTTTTTCTTTACACCTTGTGGATCATGTGCCACCTTTATGTATTTTCAATTTGGAGTCATGGTCTCACCTTGACTCTAAAGTCAAGAGCTTCATTCTGTTTCTCTAAGAAACTTAGGTTTTGCAACTGATCAATAGTCTTCACAGTCATGTTTTCATTTTCAATGTCCTCCCCATGGTTCTTGTATCCTTATTCCTTTCATGATCATTTTGGGTTATCTCCCTAGAAACAGGGACTCTTACCTTTGTGTTTCTTAATAAACTCAAAACTGTCTTGCATCTCACATGTTTTTTTTAAATTTTACAGCATTCCTGATATGGGATTTACACACATATTGCATACCATACATGTTACCTAATTTGATTCTGAAAACAGACAGTCATGTTTTATTATTTCCACTTTCCAGCTGAGAAAATTTTAACGTGTGATGTTATTTAGCTAAAAATGGACAGACTCAGATTCAAGGTTGGGTCTTCTCTTTCTGTCCAAGAGCACTTACATGTAACTCTCATTAAAATAAAAATTACATTGGGACTCAGCATTAGCAAGACATGCACTTAAGGTGACTTAACAATGGAGGAATAATCTCCTGTATTTGCAGGTAACGTTTCCATTCTTATATGGCCTCCTTCTTCTTCTCCTGAATACATATTGACAAAACAAAAGGAACTTAAGTTATTCCTTATAAAATACAGATGCCGTCTTTTGAGACTGTATATCTGGAATGCTCTGAAGATTCCAGAAAGAGAGAAAAGCCACTGATTGGGATAGTCACTGGGTGATGGGGTAAAGGGACAAAGAACAAGCACATTTTCATAACCAACATCAGTTATATAAGATGAATAAGTTCTGCAGATCTGGTGCACTCTAATGTGGATATAGTTTAAAATACTTTATTGTATACCTGAAATTTGCTGAGAAAGTGGATCTTAAGTGTTCACACCACAAAAATAAAAAGGAAATGGTAACTATGTGAGCTAATAAATATATGATTATTTCACAATGAATATCTATATCAAAACATTACCTTTTATACCTTAAATATACACAATTTTTATTTGTTAATTATACCTCAATAAAGCTAGTAAAGAAAGAATTTAGTTGATCTAGTTAGTTATTATAAATATATTCTTGTATTCAATATTAAAATTATTTTTTAAGTTTTCTGAACAAAAGAACTAATATGTTCCAGGTTGCCTACTACTTGATAGGTAGTGACTAAATGCTTTATGTTCACTAATATTTATTCTCTAGGAAATGTTCAAAGTAGGTATTAGTGTTACCATTGTAGAGATGAAGGAATTGAGACTGAGAGAGTTAATGTAATGTCATAGTGTGGTTTCTCCCAGAACAGATACTGAGAAAAATATTCCAGTGAAAGTATTTTATTGGAAAGTGCAGATCACACCATTAAGGATCAGGGAAGTGATACAGAAAAGGGTACACTATTGAGCCAGTAAGTATCACAGTGACCAACTAAAGCTTAAACCAAAGGGAAAACTATCAGAAATGATGGAAAACACATAAATTAGCAATCTCCATCTTCAGGAATACGAGAGCTAGAGTCTTGTAAATCAGCTCTCCAGAATCATTGGTTGAGTTGAGTGATATTCCTCTGTGTGGAATGCACAGGTGACATGGCTTTCTGTAATTGCAATACAAGAGCCCTTAGGCACAGAGATACAGATTCTGGCAAATGGAAACTGACTCAAGCACACTAAGATCTGAGAAATATGGACAGGATAATGAAAATGTTATCTATGATCTGTCATTCGCTCCACTCAGATCCAATCTTTGCTTCTTAACTGTGATGGACAGCCAGAAATTCTAGGAGAAGAAGGGAGAGGAGGAGAGAAAGAAGAGAGACAGAAGGGGTCTGAGCTGCTGGTTACTATACCATTATCCACTGTGATTGCTGTTACTCATTTGTGGTTATCACTGGGCATGGATGCGCTCTGAGATACTCCAATAGTTGGATTGATTTGCTTCCCCAGAAATTCATAGCCAAATAAGGTCACTGAGAATGTTAAGTAAGGTCACATTGGAATAAACGGGTCCTCTTATTCAATATGACTGGTGTCTGTATGAAAAGGATGGTAGAATGGAAGGGAGGGAAGGTAAGAGGAAAGGAAGGCAGGAAGAAAGAAGGGAAGGAGGATATAAAATAAAGGCCAAATAAAACAAGATACAGTTACTGCCGTAGTAAGGAGAAGGGATGAAGGAACATCCAACAATCTAGATATTTTGTGGAGACCTCAGAACCATTAACATTGAGTAGAAGGTTCTTAGGCATCCAGGTAAATCACCCTGATCTAGATTTTAACAATGAGAAGGACTTGGAAAGCAAAGGTTAGTGATGATAAGCTTGCTGCAAAAGGATCATCTAAAAATTTGTGATGGCAAGGCAAGGAAATGCTTGCTTGGTTGGAACTGCATTCTGCAGAGCAGGAAGATAATTGTCACATTTACAGGAACATGAATGTGATTTTCTAGCAAAGGGCACTGGAATAGAGGATGGAACTAAGAGTAGGGAAGCGCTTAGAAAAGCCATTCTGATTGCATAGTCACAGATGCTTCTAATGAGGAAAAAGTTCAGGGGGTCTAGGGTGAGTACAGAAACTCTCCAAAAGCCCTTAAAAAGATTTTCCTAGAAATGGAACAGACCACACCAGGTGTATGAATTTCCATTTACTACACACTTAAGCATTGGATCTGGCAACACATGGCAGGAAGTTTATCAGGATTCCTTCCATGCCTGAGATTCTTTGAGATCCTTAAACACTCTGTCTTGCCCCATCATTATTTGATTAGCTAATTGCTAACAGGTTGTTATTCTCTAAACTTCATAAGCATTCACATACATAATACTTTAAAGAAAGCATACACACTGTCATGATAATTGGCATTCCCTTGGAGATAAAAATAAATAAATAAAAAATAAGGACTGTCTCCCCAAAGGCATGCAAGGTAGAATTCACAACCTTGATAAATGAATCTGGGTCTGGCCTTTAGCCTTGCAGACTCAGAGACCTGATTTTATTTACATTCTAAGGGTTAAACCACCTCTTAGAGCAGACTCCTGTTAGCCAAGCCCATAAAGCAAGGATGTCTATTTATTAAATTACAGGAGAATTAAGTAACAGGAACTTCTAAACCACCACATGAGTAAGGAATCAGACAGGAAGTTATATAAAGTAAATGTTGAATGACACTTGACATGTTCATTTCACAACAGTTCTCACCAATGGAATGTGAAAATTCATAGTCCCTCTCCTGTGGGCAGTTGCTTGGTGGGGCACTGCCAACATTCGCCCCAGCACTTGTCTTAACCCTGATTTTCTGTGGTTCAACAATACCCTAATTTAAGTTTCACATTTTTACATCTTCAATTAGACTTGAATCAATTCCTCAGACTTTGAATATATCCATCTTTTTAACGTGGCGCTACATAATTTGGTTTTGATCATTTTGAACATGGATTCCAAGTCTTAGATGATATCTGACTGATATCATGCACTGATACCAATGCATTCTCATTCACACCATTGCATGGTGAGCACCCATGATGAAATTCATGTTTGGTTTAGTTCATGTCTACCATCATATCTGTTGACTATTTGTAATATTTCTATTGCTTGGGCTTTGTTTATCTTTCTTATCTCACAAAGTCTTTAAAAAAAGATTACTCTGTGATACAGAATTGTCATCATAATGATAACGTAGAATTATCGCCAGAGTGTTGGGTTGACTCTAATGATTTTGTGTGTGTCTTCGTTCATCTGGTTATAATCTAACATCACCAACTTGTTATGAGTGACACACCACATACTTCTTCCTTCCCCCCTGCTGTGAGTTATAGTGGTGACTGGACTATAGTTAATTTATTCTTCTTAGAATTTGAATTACACATAAAAGACAATCCCTAGGTTAGGCCCTCTAGTGCAATGTAATATTGTTATGGAAAGAACAGGGATTAATTTCAGAAAAACCAGCCTGTGTTTCCTCCATTCAAAGTAGGGAAAGCTCGGCTCTTTCATCATTGGAAAACTTCTCCTTAGAACCTCTTCTGACACATGGTTCAGATAACACAGCTTGGGGTTTTTCTTGTAGATATGCTGGAAATAAGAATGAATGTTATATTCTAAGATCAAAAGCTGGGATAAGTTTAATTAAATTGTAGATTTGGAGGTAACTTATGTCGAAAATACAGGAATAAAAAATCAGAAACAAAATTAAAATGATTCCCACTTAAATATAGACATTATTCTAGAATATAAATCAAGAAAGCCTAAATTGCATAGATTGTATAAACTTGCTAAGGAAAGCATGCAAGCCTTATCCATCCTTCAATATCACTGTGTTCCACAGTGGTTGTGGCCTATCCCAGACCAGAAAACCTTCAGATCCTCTTCCTAAACAAAAGCATTCCTTATGCAAGATAAGGACGAGGTAGAAACCAAGCTCTTCAGCCCCAGTCAGATTCCTGCTTGGAACAAAGATTAAGACTGAAAGGGTCAAATTTCAACAATCTTCTACCCTTTAAGGTTGATTCCTAGCAAAATCAATCCAGTTCTTTCCAAGCAATCCCTTTTAAGTGACCAATAGTAATAAATATAGCAAAGCATAAGTATATTTGTAGCAGGATGGGCCGCAGACAAAACCTCTCAGACACCAAGTTGTAGAAGGAAAGGTTTTATTCAGCTGGGAGCATCGGCAGGCTACTGCCTCAAAATCAAAATCCGAGCTCCCTGAGCGCACAATTTCTGTCCCTTTTAAGGGCTCACAACAAAAA